AAAACAAATAAACATCTATTCATTTCTCCGAAAGAATTAAAATAAAAATTTTTTTGGGGTGGGTTATAACCCCATTTTATGGACAAAAATTAGGGGGCGGTTGCGTGTACGGGTCATGTAGTACACGATTTATGCTATAATTTAAAACTATTTTGATGTTTTTACCACGTCAGGTTAAAGAGAAAAATCATATTAAACACCCATAAAAACATGTTTCTTGGGGGTTTTATCCCCCCTTTTTTTAAAATCCTGACATGCTAGGCAATTTTAAGATCCGGGATCGTGTTCAGCGCTCAAAAATACATCAGAAACCATTCTGATATCAAGATAAAAGAAAAAAGTTTTATGTAGGCCTCTGTGATTTATTACGTTTACTGAAGCCATATATACAAATTTGCATTACACTTATGACCATTACACTATTGACATTTTGCTCGTTTTTCGCTTATAAAATGAAAACGGTTATACTTATATCGACGGGGTTGGTCTCATTCGAAAGAGAATCCAAAAATACATTAAATTCCATACCGATATAAAATTCAAAATATTTTCTAACCATTTTCAAGGCGTTACACTGTTGACAGAAATTCAATTACGATAGTGTTTCGGCTTTTTCTGCCTCCATGACAAACGAGCAGATTTATACTTATATAGTTTTCTTTTTTTTCCTACACTTCGTTTTTGTGTTCTGCTGCTTATGCGATGGTAAAGAAATTTTTTTGCTCATAAGGTAATTTAAATAGCAGGTAAAGGTAGGAAATTCTGCCGGCAAAACGTAAAAATACAAAAGTGAGGGACACGTCATTTTCATTTTCTGGAAATTGTATAAAATAAAGTTTAATTACCAACACTTGATTTTCCTAAAATATAGAACTAACACTTCACGAAATATTTTTTTAATTTGGTTTAAAGACTATATTTTCGACATTTCATTCATTTGAACATTGAAAATGTCTCCGGGGACGCATTACACTTATGACATTTTGCCTGCTTTTTGTTCTGCCAATATTATGAAAATCACTTTTATGTCCTTGAAAGTAGAAAAATTATTGAAAATTATTGCTTTTTACTATATAAACAAATTAATTTCAAGTAAGGTTATATCAAATAATTTTTATTTGCAAGGGACACGAATATGACAATTTAAATGAAATGAGCCAAATAGAAACTCTTAAAGCTTCAGTTTCAATGATAAATAACATTTATTAATTCTTGGTATTTTAATTCAACAAAAATTTAACAATTTGAAATCAGGTGTTAACAATTAATAAACATTTGAATTAGTGTTAACTAAAATTTAACTCATAAAATTTTCAATAAAACAATGCGTCAACAGGCGAAAAGTAGGACTGATCCACCACTAGATTTTGTTACATTTTTGGTTCCAGTCGTGGATCACCCCAAAACAATGGACACGCGCTATTTACAGACGTAAATATTGTTCTCAGGGCTCTATGGGGATGAAACGAAATGCCTACTATTGTAAAAAGAATTAAAAATTGTCCTAAAATGGCTCCAAAGCTTTCTATTCCAAAATATACTCTTAACTTACATGCTAAGGAAAACTCTTGTTTTCTGTCACCACTTTAGTAATTGTTGTCCTGCTTTCTTAGCGGTGAATTTAAAAATTTTTTTAAATTGTAATATTGATCTGCACAACTTTCTTAACAATTACCGACACTTGCAGTTCATTTATTTACAAACGTGTAAACACAAATGACCATTTTTCTCGCAGTTGATCCACCACTGGTGCATGATCCACCACTGGTGCAGTTACCCTATATTAATATTAATTAATCTGTAAAAAATTTCAATTTCATAAAAAGTCAGATTTTTATTTACATTTATTATATATATACATATAAATATTTTTTTTTACAATGAAATAAAAATTACATTTTAAATAGATTCATTATAACAATAATAAACTATTATTCATTTAAATATTAATCAGTTTATATAAAAGTTAAAACAACTCGAACTCGAAATATTATTAATTTATGCTTAGGAACTAAAAAAATGATTTTAACTAATGTTGAAAAAAATTATTAATTAATTAATTTTTTAAAAAATTAATTTTTGATTTTATATTTATTATTTATTTTGCTTTATTTTCTTTAGTAATAATGAATGAATAAATTTAGTTATTTTTATTTATTTAATAAATATTATTAATTTAATATACTATAAAAATAATTGTTATTATTATTAATAATATTATAACATTAATTAAGTTTTGTTTAATACAATAGAATGCATTCTGAAGTAAATACATTTTGAAGTAAATATTTATACTTACAATTTTTCCTTCACGCAATTTGAATTTCGCGCTCCGTTAACTTTCGAACTATCCGCCAGATGGCACTGTTTTTCTCTCTCTCATAAACAACATGAATCGGTTAAGGTATAAGTATCAGCGATTTGTACAGAGTTTTCACAATATCACTTTTATTCAGCTAATTGTTAATGTTAGCATGACCTTAGAAATTTTTTTTTCTTTTTCTCCATTTATTATGGATGATTTTATGCCATAACTCCTGGGTCAAGATAAAATTTATTCTCTCTGAGTCTCGCTTTTTTCTTGTATTAATATATTATTATATCTTATATTATATAATAATTATATAATATATATATATGTTACGGTAAAAGCTCGAAATTGGTAAATGTGCACATTTACTGGTTAATATGCACAATTACCAATGCAGTTGGTAAAAGTGGGAATTGTCTGTTTTAAATTAAAAATTTCGTACATTTACCAAGTAAATTGGTAATTGTGCACATTCACCAACAGAAATTGGAAAATGTACGAAATGTCTAAATTGAATCAAAGATTTCTCACTCGTATCAACTACCTTGGTAAATGTAGATAGTTACCACAAAAAGGGGTAAATAGAAGTGCCGGACATATTGATGGTTTAAAATTTTGTCTGCTATTCTTTATATTATAACTTTAATCGTTATTATTGACATTTACAAAAAAATAAATTGGAAAAGTTTTATTTATTTATTTATATTGTTATCACGTCATATCGACGCAAACGTCGAAAATCAGCACTCGTTTTCTTTTTTATTTTTAATTTCGCATCACACACTTCTTTCAACACCTTATTATACTCTACTTCCGACAAATAAACAGAATTATTTTTTTCCCTTCTATAATCTTTGTTGCAATTTCATAAAAATTTTTTTTCACTTCGGAAATTACAATTTCTTCACTCATTTTTACAGGCAAAATTTAAAATATACTCGCAATTTCACTGTCGAAAGCGAACTAAACGAAATACTGAGGTTAGCAGAATAAACATTCTATTCTAATTATTCTGTTTCCTTTATAGGCATTTGATTACTATTTAATTGAAATATAAACAAAACAAACTATCTACATTTACCTTGTTGGTACGAGTGAGAAATCTTTGATTCAATTTAGACATTTCGTACATTTTCCAATTTCTGTTGGTGATTGTGCACAATTACCAATTTACTTGGTAAATGTACGAAATTTTTAATTTAAAACAGACATTTCTCACTTTTACCAACTGCATTGGTAATTGTGCACATTAACCAGTAAATGTGCACATTTACCAACTTCGGGCTTTTACCGTAACATATATATATATATATATATATATATAATGTAATATAATATATTTTTTTGAAAATTGGGTTAATATTGGTCCAATATTGAAATTCGAGCCTTGGCATTGGTCTCTACACTCCCAGACTTGGATCAATATTGGCTAAAATGACTGGTCCAATATTTAGCCAATATTCAGTTTTGGCAATTTTCCACTAGGCATTGAGATTAGCGATTTGAAAAATTCTGAAAAAAATTTATTTTATGTTTTTTTTTAAAGGTACATAAAACACAATAATTATTTATTTAAAAAGTTGAAAAATAATTGGATTTTGAACCTCTTTTTTTACAATATTGAGATAAGTAATTTGAAAAATTAGGAAAAAAGCTGAATTTTTATATGTGGTTTTTTTAAATAAGTACATAAATAACAATTTATTGTTTAAAAATTGTTGTATAATAATTTGATTATTAACATTTTTTATAACATGGAGATCAGCAAATTGAAAAATTAGGAAAAACATGCATTTTTATATTTGCTGTGTGAAAGTGTTTAGTATGTATTTCAATTATTTATACTAATTTATAAATAATTTAAAATAAATATTCTTATATTATTATTTATAATAAAATCAATTAAAATATTTGATAAATGGCATAAGAATTTCACAATTCTTATCCTGGTCTTTCCAAAGAAGTGCCTATATGTAGGCAATTCGTGTATTTTTCCTTACTTGTGACAACTAACATTAAACATTGTTTGAAAAACGTTTTAAACGAAAAATTATTAATTTCCCGCACATAACAGACAAAGTCTATGTTATTCTGAACATTTTCCAAAAGTTTTTTTTTAAATATTTAAAATTGTGCTTTTCACACACCTGAGAAGTTTTCGCGTTAAACGCCATGATTTGTGACGTCACGAAGGTTCAAATGCTCTTAAAAACCCCGAAGTAAATATTTTCAACATAATTGAATCAGTTTTTAAAAATTTTTATCTGACATTTTGGATACGTCATTTTGAATTTTATAATATACATATTCGAATTCAGAAGCCTTAAAAACACCGATGACAGTAATTCCAATCAAATTTGATACCTATAATATTTTTTATTTCTGAAATATTGAGGCTAATGCAATATGTTAATTCACTCATATTTACATAAATACGGAATTTTTTTAAAAAGATAATTTTTCGACTCTTGAGGGGTCAAACAAAATCGAAATATTGTGAAAAAATCGCATACCTCCTCTACATAAGAAAGCAAATTTCCAATTATTGCACATAACATTGTTATACTTAATTCAAAATTATACTGGCAATAGGTCAAGTGATTTTTAATCGCATGTACATTCAAATTATTTTATAAAGTTTACTTACCTATCATTCTTATTTTTGGAGTTCGCGTCGACACACAATCTACTTGTTTTTATAATATTATATTATACTTTAATTTATTAATGACATATTTTAAAAAAATTTTAAACAATAATTATTTATACAACCTCTAAACATGGGTCTACTGGAAACTTTTAATTATTATTATTACGATTTGGCTGGTAAGATTTCAATATAACATTATTGTATATTTTAAACTCATTTTTTCCTAAAATTTTTGACTATTTCTAAAGTAAATCCTAAACTGTCTGGAATTTTTGCTCACTTCTGTCAATTTTTGCTCCGACCCGTGTAGAAATATGCATATTTGAATCCTTTTGCTTCCTTTCCTGCCGAGGAAGCTTTGTATCAATATCTAAAATCAGACATAAGAATTTCCAAAAATATCCACATATTTTTTTATGTCACTTTTTCAAAAATTCGAAAAAACGTTTTTAATAAAAAATTTTTTACACTGTAAATTTAATTTTTTTGTCCAAGAAATTGATTTCTCGCATTAAAACGAATTAATTAATTTATATAAAGTCTATATTTTACTTAAAATCTATAAATTAAATCATTTTTTAATTTTTGAAAAACATCGTTTTTCGTATTTTTTGAAATAACTTTTTTATTCATGAAAATTTTTAATAAATTTTATCAGAGTTGTATTCCTGGTATCAAAACAAATCGATTAAGGTATATAAAGTTTACATGTCACCAATATTTATAAAATTGATCTAAATTTAAAAAAAAATTAAAATTTAAAATTTTTTTAAAACTAATAATATATAAGTGTTTATCATGATGAGGAAGGTAAATACTTATGAAATGAACAACTTTTTAACTTGTTTGCTATTTGGTGCTGATAATAATAGCCTGATTTTAGCCTGATTAGGTAATTTTTGGGGTTCTGACAGCGTGCCAGAATGCAGATGTCACTTTTAACAGATCGAAAAATGGAATGCTTATTGTGTTTATTTCTTTATAACACAAATTTGTTGACATATTCTAAATTAATATAAAATTTATTATGTTTTAATTAATAATTAAAAAATTGAAAAGGAAAATAGTAAAAAAAGTACTTTCGTTATTAAATAAGGAAAGATTTTTTCCTTATTAAATTTACATATTTTATATTTTTATTTCATATGTTTATTTAACTTTTGAATGAAAAATATTATTATTTAATTTTTTTATACTTTATATGTTATAATACTGAAATTTCTCGAACTCGATTTTTTATGTATCTTTATCTTTTTCGACCTCAGGAATCGAAAAATCATATTTTTAAAAAATGTCATTCCGTATGTGTTTATATACACACTTCATTTTTATAAATATCTCGAATATTATAAAAGCTAAAGGGATAAATTTATTTTAAATTGTAGTTCTCAGGATAATTCTTGCTAAATTTGAAACTCAACCAAAGATAAATAACAGTTATTTTTTGCTCTTTCCAACTGATCTGATTAATTATTATTAATTATAGTGATAGGGGAGACCGGGTCAGAAAGTGTCGATTCTGAGAAAACTAACGAAAATGGTAATAAAATGACAACTTTTTGTTTTAATTTATAGTCTATCTATTATAAAATTTAATGTAGTTTTTAAATCCATTATTATTTTTTGATAATTTTGAACAGTTTTTTTGTAAAAAATGATTTTGTGCAGCAAGGCAACGCGGCACATCGCACTCCGCGCTAGGGAGAGTTGTGTCGATGCAAGAGTCGGTTGTGTCGCTCAGATTTTTTAGTTGTTTAAGTTAAAGCAAATGATTTTATGCGGAAGAAATAAAATAATTATTGCCAATATATGATTTACTATTATTTATTAATCATTTATTATAAACTTTTAAAGGTTTTTAAGAACGATCTTAATGATAGAACGTCCAACGTCCTTCCTGCAGGATGAAAAAGACTCAGGTGAGTCCCTCCGAAATCGCTTTCTAAAATTAACTTGGATTGAGATAAACACAAAAAAATATATATGGTTGGAAAGGTAAAGATACAAGCTTTCAGCGCATGTAAAAATTAAATTTCTAAATTCAAACCCCAAGGCTAGGCAACTTAAAGAAGTTAAATTTTTGTAAAACTGACCTAATGTTTAGTGCTAGATCGTCGACGCCCGGTCCTGCCGGCAGGACTCTTCTCAGTTTATTGATACGATTACCCAGCCCTGATATTTAAATTTAGAAACTTGATATTTACATGATCTGATAGCTTTTTTAATTACCTTTCGAACCATATATAGGGTAACTGCACCAGTGGTGGATCAATTAAGCCTACTAAATTTATTATTTTGACTTTAAAGGTGTACAGATTTTTTCTGATGAAAAATATAGGGTAATCTTTACAATAGTATGAATTAACAAGTCTTCAAGGACACTATCGTGTAGTTTTCGACCTGCTTGTAACGTTTACACCCCCTCACACCCCCATTCAACAATAAAATGACATTGCTCCAGTCGTGGATCATTTACCCCTTTACACTACACAAAAATAACTTAATGATGTAAATTTTTTTCCAGAAGTATTCTATATGGAAAGAATTGATTACTTTCTACTCTAAAAATTAAAAAAATTTAGACTAAACAATTATTTTTTAAGATTTCATGTGAAAAAGCATAAAATCAATAATTGTTGTATTGCTTTGTTTTCCTAAATATTTTCAAATGATTTTATTTCATAAAACTTATCTATACACCTCCCCTAAACGATTGAAACATTTAGTTCAATTAGAAATAGCTTATTTTAACCTTTTTAACGCTGTTGATCCACCATTGGTGCCTGATCCACCACTGGTGCATTTACCCTATTTTTTTATGTTTATCTGAATCCATATTAATTTTATAATGTTTTTTCGGAAAGACTCTCATCTGAGTCTTTTTCATCCGTCCGCAATTGTGCTGGATACAAATCTTTATACATAGTGTTATAATAATAATACAAACAAAATTCAAGATTAAAAAAAATATATAATGCAGAAAATTTATTTGGTAATTTATGGAAATTTATGAGGTAATTTATGGAAATTTATTTGGCAATTTATGGAAATTTATGAGATAATTTATGAAATTTTGAGGTAATTTATAATTATAATACAAACAAAAATTCAAGATTCAAAAACTATTGCAGAAAATTTACGTGGTAATTTTTGGAAATTTATGCGGTAATTTATGAAATTTTTGAGGTAATTTATAATTGTAATACAAACAAAATTTAAGATTTAAAAATTATTGCAGGAAATTTATGCGGTAATTTATGAAATTTATACGGTAATTTATGAAATTTATGCGGGAATTTATAATATCTAAAAGAAAAATTTGAAAACTAATTTTGGAAATTTATAGGGTAATTTATGGTAATTTATGAAATTTTTAAGGTAATTTATAATATATAAAATTTTATGTGGTAATTTAAGAAAATTTAATGGAAATATATGTTTTAAATAAAGTGCGTCCTGCCGGCAGGATGGCGCAATGTGCGGAGAAGCATCCTGCCGGCAGTACGCAGCGGCTTGTCCAAGCGTCCTGCCGGAAGACCCTTCCAGCAGGATGGGCGCTTGGACGTTCTATCATTAATATCTCTAGATTTTAGTACCAGTTTTAGTAGGTACAAATAAACATTTTCTGACTTATATTCTATAATTTCATAGTTAGTCAGTCACTTAAAATATAGTTTTCGTAATAAGTATTTTTATTATGAACATTCAAAGAATTTTTCCAACAATCGTAACATTTATAGATTTTTGTAAATAAATAAACATTTCTGACTTAAATTCTACAATTACGTAATTAGTAAGTCTTTTAAAATATTTTTTGTAATAATTATTTGTATCGTTAATTAACTGTAAAAAACTATACTTTCTGATTAATAAATCATTTTTAAGACATGAATACTTATTCCGAATGCGATTTATTGAAATCACAATTGACACACATGTAGGGGACGTAGGGTCAAAATGGGAAAGCTAAGGTTTGAAGTTCAATTAAACTAACATTATTATATCAATATTTTATCATTTATTGGAATAATAATCTTTGAATGAGAACCAGTCAATTAATAAAATTTAAAAAAAGTCACATATCTCCATTTTTCCTTCCCTGGGGGCAAAATGGGATACCCTAAAAGCAAGCTGGGGTTTACAAAAAAATTAACTGATTATTGCTTGAAATCTTCAAAAGTGAAGATTGCATTTTCACCTTTTTTCCAAAATGATTTGAGGGACAGAAAATATTTTTGCTGCTAAGTTGGAACCCATTTTTCGCCCACCGCATTTTTCATGCTCTCTTCTGACCAATTTTCTCTACTTGTCTTTATTTTATAATTTTTTTACCCTTCTACAAGAAAAATGAAACATTTATACAAAACTAATTAACTCTTGTACTTACAATAATTAATATGTTTTTAATTATATGATAAAATAAACTCCATATCCCATTTTGCTCCCTCATGCGAAATGACACTAAAAAGTTAACCAATAAAAATATGATTCAACAAACAATTAAAGAAATGTTTACCTGCTAGAGTAGTCACTGACACTTATGAAAAACAAAAAATGTTATGTAAAATGCTGTTATTTACAAAATGAACGTGGTAAAAAAACGTAGTATAATCATTCAATGTTTTTACCACCTGAAAACTGTCGTATTGGTTGCACATTATGTGCAATACGACCATTATTGGTCCATTCCATTTTGCGCCTACGTCCCCTAACTGACCCTTTTTTACCCTTCACACACTTTAAATGTGCCCAGTTTTTACAAACAATGCATTATATCCACTTTTCTCTTGATTTCGGGTTGGAATAACTATTCGAACAAACAAGGCAATAGTAGATTATGTCGACGCTCACTTTTTATCATATATTAAAACAAGATGGGGGTCCCTTTTTATAAAAGAAGTTTATGTTCATTTCATGAACATTTTGCTTCCTCATTGCGCAAAGCAAAAGATTTGCTTCCTCTTGGAGGAAGCAATAAATTAATAATTTATATACATATTATTTTTAAAATATGATAAATGATTTCAAAAAATATATCTTTTTCCACCTTTTCCACTCTTTCAGCCGTTTTATGAAACAATTTTTTTATTAAAATCGATTTTTTGAAAAAAAGTAAAAAAAAATTTTTTTTTAGAGGGTACTTTCTAAAATTGTTGTGTTCATTTTGAGATATTAA